GGCCATTGCAACCTCGACCTGCTGGACTTACGCGATCCTTCCGCCTCAGCCTTCCAAATAGGTGGAACTCTAGGTGAGTGCTACCATGCCCAGCTAATTTTTTGATTTATTGTAGAGACGAGGTCTCATCATTTTGCCCAGGCTGGTCTTGACCCTGGGCTCATGCAATTCTCTCGCTCGGCCTCCCAAAGTGCTGGGTTTATAGGCTTGAGTCACTGCGCCTGGCCTGCGGTACTCTTTTCAAGGATTGGTAAACTCCAGCCCCTGGACTGGTTGGCTGTTTCGTGCGTAAAGTTATCTAAGCATGCCTGTTTATTTTTACATAGTGTCTGTGGCTGCTTTTGTACTGCAATGGTAAGTTAACTAGCTGGGAGAGACATCATGTGGCCCACAGTTAAAAATATTTGCTATCTGGCCCTTTAGGGGAAAGTTTGCTGATTTGTGCTGTGCACAAATCGTGTATAATTTGAAAATATTGTGATAGTGTTGAGTGATCCCTGCTCTACACAAATAAATTTGTATACTTATTTTTGAACCCAGCAATACTGCTTCTTGCAATCTATATCAAAGACATGCCTTCAACCATATGAAAATATGTATGTACAAGGTTATTTGTGGCAGCATTATTTGTAATTGCAAAATATTTGAAATAACTTAAGTACACGTACATAGGAGAGTGTTAAATACATGATCAGTAGTCCACACAGCAGAATATTTTGCAGCTATAATAAAGTGGTTCAAGACCATCCTGGGAAACTCAGTGAGACCTCGTCTCTACAGTAAATTAAAAAAAATTTAACTGGACGTGGTGTTGCATGCCTGTAGTTCCAGCTACTTGGAAGGCTGAGGCAGAAGGATCACCTGAACCTAGTAGGTCAAGGCTGCAGTGGCTGTGAGCCTGCCACTGCACTCCGGCCTGGGTGACAGAGTGAGACTGCTACTCAAAAAAAAAAAAAGCTAGACACAATGGTACACGCCTATCATCACAGCACTTTGGGAAGCAGAGGTGAGAGGATTAACTGAGTCCAGGGACTTAACACTGGCCTGGGCAACTTGGTGAGACCTTTGTCACTACAATAAATAAAAAAATTAGCTAGGTGTGGTGACGTGTGCTGTAGTTCTGGCTACCTGGAGGATTGAGGTGAAAGGATCACCTGAGTCCAGTTGATTGCAGCTGCAGTGGCTGTGAGCTTGCCACTGCACTCCAGCCTGGGCAACAGAGTGAGACTCCTACATACACAAAAAAAGGCCAGATGCGGTGGCTTAGCCTGTAATCCCAGCACTTTGAGAGGCTGAGGCCAGAGGATTGCCTTAGCCCGGGGTTTTGAGACCAGCATGGGCAACTTGGTGAGACCTCGTCTCCACAATAAATCACACACAAAAAGAAAACTAACTGGGCATGGTGGCATGCATCTGTAGTTCCACCTACTTGGAAGGCTGAGGG